CTTTCTCCTTCCAATGTGGAGGGAAAAAGATAAACTCTGAACTAGTACAGCCAGTTCAGCTATAAAGAACAGACCTTTTAGCTAAAATTTCTAGAAAACAAGCTCTATTATTGGATATCCGACGTCGTACGTCGGACATCGAACGCAGTGTGAATCCTCCATCACAGACAAATCACAGAAGAATAATCGACTGTGATTGGTCAATTTCTTACGGCTTAAAGCTTACTACACCTATTGTAGATCCGGCCTTCCCAGGCCTTTCTTCTAGCATTAAAGGACTCCCCGTTGTATTATACAGCGACACCGTTATACCAGTAATATTAAGGTGTGTCAGTTTATCCAAGTCACATTCGAAGATTGTTCGAGACATCAGAAGGACATTCAACTGCCACTTTCAATAGTATATTTCAACCGTATTTTACAGGTACTGGAAGAAAGAAAAAGTTTCGTGACGTTCGACCTTTTCAATTGTGACGCAATTAGAAGATTGTAGACGTGTCGCCGAATTGGTATTTTCCGATTTGACATACAAGATCTTTTGGTAGTTGTCGGATACGAATTAAGGCAAAATGACGAAGAAAGGTATGTAAAGGTCATGCAACCATTAAAAAAGCAGTTTTCGATTTTCACGAAAGCGTTCGATAGATGAACATTTTTATAACGATAATTTAATTTTCTATTACTCAAATTATTTGTTTTAAAATAAAAATTTTTAATGTGTTTAGAAAAATGTCCAACATATGAGAATAAGCTAAAGATAATTCAAATACTGCAGTATACTATACTTTTGAAAAAATGCTAATTCTAGAAATAAATTTTTATATTTTAAAATTTTAATAATAACTTCTGATTGTAATAGAAAAAAGAAGATTAAAAAAATTTTACTCAAGATGTAACAATCACTATATTTGTATAATTTCCACATTTATTTTTTTACAACAAAATCAAGAGAATGCTTATCCACAATATGTAAGAACATGAGTTTAACTGTGATGATTAAATTGTTCAAGAAGTTTAATTAGGGTGGAGTTCCGAATGGCCCCCGTGAGCTAGGACTAGGAGTCTAGTGCGTGTTGTTTCAACTTTGGGAAATGCGCAGAAAAAAAGTTATTAATAAAAAAGGGCAAGGTTCAACTCGCATCATCTGGTGCTTCAGATGCAAAACAAGGCTTATAATCGCTATATATATTTAGGGTTAGGTTAGATTTTGCATATTTCTTGAAGTTAAAACCACACACACTAGACTCCTCACCTTCCAAACAGTCCTGTTATGCAATTTTATAGCCCTAGCTCACAGGGACCATTCGGAACTCCAGCCGTTCAATTACATTATTATGTAATTAGAACATATTTTAAGATTTGATTCAAACTATTCATATATTTATAGGGAAGAAAAAGAAGCAGCAGAACAAACAAGAAGGTGCATCAACTTCAGATACTACTGATGAGCCATTGCAAAGTCCATCAACCTCACAGCCTCAACAAGAGCAACAACAACAAACAGGAACACAGAAAAAGACCTTACAACAATCAGTAGAAAAACCTCAACAAGGGCCACAAGAGCAAGCTGCACCACAACTACAAGGAGCATGGGCCAAAAAACAGCAACAAACACAACTACCATCACAACAACAACAGCAAATGCCAACACATCCACCGCAACAACAGCAAATGCCAGCACATCCACCGCAACAACGGCCACAAGGAGCATGGGTACGACCACAGCAACAACAGCAGAAGATGCCAACACAGCCACCGCAACAACAGCCACAAGGAGCATGGATACGACCACAGCAACAACAGCAGCAGATGCCAACACAGCCACAGCAACAACAGCCACAAGGAGCATGGACACGACCACAGCAACAACAACAGCAAATACCAACACATCCACCGCAACAACGGCCACAAGGAGCATGGGTACGACCACAGCAACAACAGCAGCAGGTGCCAACACAGCCACCGCAACAACAGCAGCAAATGCCAACACCTCCACCGCAACAACAGCAGCAGATGCCAATACAGCCACCGCAACAACAACCACAAGGAGCATGGGTACGACCACAGCAACAACAGCAGCAGATGCCAACACAGCCACAGCAACAACAGCCACAAGGAGCATGGACACGACCACAGCAGCAACAACAGCAAACGCCAACATCTCTACCGCAACAACGGCCACAAGGAGCATGGGGACGACCACAGCAGCAACAACAGCAAATGCCAACATCTCTACCGCAACAACAGCCACAAGGAGCATGGACACAACCACAACAACAACAACAAAAAGTCTCAGGTAAATTGTTTCTTTAATATGTATGCATACAGATAAAGAAATAGAACATTAGTATTAAAACATATTTTTTTTTTTTAATTTGTTTTATATATACATATCATGTGATTACAGTTATACTTTTATTCTTTTTATAGTTGATATAGGTGGTGCCGGTGACTCTCGGCAAATACAAACTAGAAGTTCTGACATACAACAACCACAGCCATCAACAAGTGCTGAATCGCTCAAGGTACATTCTCAATCTTATTATATATTGATATATGATTCTCTGAGGAACATTTGTCATTAACAATATATAAGATAATTTAGGCCTTAATGGATTATAAAAATCAGAACAAGAAACTTAGCTCTTGCCAGATATTCATGTAAATTTGTCTTTATTTGTATGTCTCGAAAACAAACTTTAAAAAAACGCTTATATTTTAGATTGAATCATTTGAAGTGAATCATTAATATGATGTCGTTTACATATTTATGAGATAAATAGATTTAAATATTAGATTTTTAATTGCTCTATCCTCGATTTCTTATAGAGTGATGTCTGCTAATGAAAGTAATAATGAAAGTAAAGAATATGTATTCTTTATTTTGTAAACAATATTTGCGAGCATCAAATCCTAGCCTTTGTCTCTATATCAGCTTTAATAAAATTATAATTATTGTTATTGTATTAATTAATTAATTCAAAGAGCCATATTTGTAAAATAAATTTATGATAATTTGGAAAGTAAAGAATATTTTTTTTTTTAGATGTCTGAACTTTCCATGAGAGATACATTACAACCAACAAAGACTTCTTCAAAAGCAAAAATGACATCTTCCGCAATGAAACAATATCAATTATGTATACCAAAAAGGCGAAATCCTATGAAAGGCGGAACATTAGGAACACCAATTCGTGTTGTAACAAATATGTTCGAAGTAATATTTAATAAAAATTTTGTGACTAATGCAATACATTATGATGTGAGCATCACGCCTAATGCTCCAAAAAGAATACACAAAAGAGTTTTTGATGCATGCAGAAATACTTATTTTGGCAAAAGACATCCAGCATATGACGGAAAGAAGAACGCTTATAGTGCAAATGATCTTCCATTCAACGATTATGTAAGTAATACATAATACATAATTAGTAATATACATACGTGTGTGTGCGTATATTTTTATGTTTATTATATCCATAACAATTTTGACCGACAAATATTTAATTTTTGAATGAATATAAGTCGCAAAATAAATATTTTATAAATTCTTTTAATTATAAATTTTTCCACATAGATGGAGACTGATATTGAAATCCGTGAAGAGGACTCCGATAGGCAGAGGACATTTAAAATTGCCTTGAAAAAAGTAGCTGTTATTGATCTTTCCTGGATAAAAAATTTGCGACCTGGTCTCGATGAAGCAGACAGAGATCAAACTGGTATACAAGTTTTAGATATCATCATGCGCCATGCTGCTGAAGTGACGTATAACTGTGTAAGTAATTAATAATGATTTCGTAGTAATTAGTTAATTGTTTCATAATTAATACTAGTTCTTTTATTATAATAAACGAGTCTTAAAAAATTAATTCCCTGTTTAAATCGTAACGATACCAGATAACATAATTGTAAAGTTTATATTTCGAGAAAAGAATTTTTTATTTTGCGATTGTTTCGTTTAGTCACAATATGAGAATTTGGTTATACAAGTTATACATATAAAACTATAGAGTAAATATATATATATATATATATATATTTATGACACGTAATGTAAAATATATTATGTTTATATTGTGTAGGTTGGAAGATCAATATATTGGGATGTCGGATCCAGAAGAGATGAGGAAAAGATTAATTTAGGTAAAGGCTTGATTCTAGGGACCGGTGGATTTTCATCGACCATACCTGGCTGGAAAGCATACTTAAATGTCGACGGTAAGTATTAACATGTTAACATTTGTCGTGAAAACATTCGTTGTTTTTATGGCGAACAGAATTATAAGTGTTAGTCTTGCAATGACTCACGTTATAAACTATATCTATATTAAATATTTTCTCTATGTAATATTATATCTTTTTATTTAGTTGCTCATAAAGCGTTTCCTTCGCCTGAGAACGTTGCTAAAATAATAACCGATATGGTTAACGAGTTTAAAGGTTTGTCGGGCTCAAGCTCAGGTTATCCGACCAGACCAAGTTATTCGAAACCAAGTTATTCGAGACAACAGACTCCTCTGACACCAGGAGAAATAAGATTAGAAAATTCACCGGAAATGGAGAAAATTGATAAATTCTTAAAGGGTTTAAAAGTGACTTATGAAATACCCAACCAAGTGCGTTCAAAACGGACGTATCGCTTAAATGGATTAGGCCCACGCCCTGATCAACATAAATTCGAATGTAATAATGAGATAATCACAATAACTAAATATTTTGCGGAGCACAAAATGTATAAGTTAAAATATCCTCAAATGCCTTGTCTTTGGGCAGGCGCAAAGGACAGAGAGGAAAAGATCTTTTTACCCGCTGAAGTACGTAAGCCACTTCGTATTTGCTAGAAATAATCAAATAAGATCACTTAAAAATTCCTTGAAATATTTACAGTTATGTATAATTACGCCTGGTCAGTCGTATAATAGAAAACTAGATGATGGACAAACAACAAAAATGATTAAACAAACAGCGAAATCCGCACCTGAACGCAGACTGAAAATTGAAGATGCGGTAAAATAAATTTTACTTTATAAAATTGCATTTAAGATGTTAAGTTTTGTACATAATTTATTATGTTACATATTTTTAGTTCAAAAAACTCAATGTGAATCAAAGTTCCACAGTAAGACAAGAGTTCAATCTATCTGTCTGTCCAAACATGAAAGAGGTGGATGCTCGAATCTTACCTCCTCCGCAATTGAAATATAAAAAAGGTAAAGACACCACATCAGTCACACCAATCAAGGGAATATGGCATTTGCATCAATTTATACAACCCGAAAATCTAAGTCCCCGTTTGTGGACTATTCTCGATTTGAGCAGAAATTACATAGACAAAACTCGAGACTCAGGGGATAGAACTAATGACCGGATGTTTCTTGATTTGACACAAATAGTCATAAGCACTGGTAAGTATATGAAGCATATTTAATTAGGATATTTAAATTTTTGCTGTTGAATATTTCTGAAAATATAACGTTTATTAATTGCTAAGCTTTGAAAAGAAAAAAATTATAATTAACGTGTTATTAGTGTTTTTCGCTACTCGTAAATTTGATAAAATTGATTAATCACAATTTTGAATTATGTTATGTAAATTAAATATTAAATCGTTTTTCTTAGCTAAGGACGTTGGTATGGAGATTGGAGAGGCTTTGACGTCACAATTCAAGGCGATAAGTAACAGAGCTACAGCTGAGATTACAAAATACTTTCGTGATTGTAAAGAAAAAAAATTGAAACTGATAATAGTTATTATACCTGCTCAAACAGATGTAACTTATAGTAAGTAGATAGTGTTTTTTCTATTGTTTTATTCTGAATATGAAAAGAGGGAAAGAGCAATGTGCAATTATTTATGTCTCAGGTAAAGTAAAACAGATTACAGAATTAGAAATAGGTATTTTGACACAATGCATAAAGTATGATACCACCACGAGGAAGATGAATCCTTCAACAGTAAAGAATATTCTTCTAAAAATAAATTCGAAATTAAATGGCATTAATCATATATTCGGTAATATGTGAGTAAATAAAATTTTATTATTGCCTTATTACTTTATAAGAATTTTTTAATGATAATCTCGATGAAAATTGATTTTTTTCGCAGGCCAATGTGTCTACAGAATAATTCCTGTTGTATGCTTGTTGGCGCCGATGTGACTCATCCTTCTCCCGATTCTGTCGATATACCCTCTATAGCAGCGGTGAGTACAATTATTAAATAGCACTTTTCTTTCACGTGAACATGTATTAATGAGGAATAAATGCCATTTAGGTTGCTGCAAGTCAAGACATTCAAGCCTTTCAGTACAATGCTGCACTTAGGCTTCAACAGCCCAAAGAGGAAATGATTTTAGATCTCGAAGATATAATAACATCACAAATATGTATCTACAAGGACAAAACGAAGTTTCTACCCAAAAAAATTATCTATTATCGGTATGTATGAATAATAAGGTACTCAAATGACATGCGAATATGTCGTATATTTGAAAATACATATTTTTCTTAGATGTACAGAGAAATGTATGCACTAAATAAAATACAGTCGATTCTGATTAATTGGGACACATCGGAACGTAACATTTTGGCCCAATTAAGTGATTATCCCGATTAACCGGTGATCCTATTAGCCGGAATCGACTGTACTTATGAATATTATAAAGATTTTTATATTTATATAATAAATATATACAGGGTGTCAATTAAGTCCCGGGACGGCTGAATATTTTCTCATATAAGGTATTTTTGAAAAAGGTCAAGGTCATTTCTGAAGTAATTTTCAACGAGGAATTCAACGGTGACCTTCAATTTGACTTTGAGCTTGACCTTCAAGGTCATTTCAAGGTTAGGTTAGGTTTTTTAAATAGAAACCCCTATTTTTGATTCCAAAATCTAATAGCTGGTGTCAAGAGCTTTTCAAAACACTATAATAAAGTTATTTTTCATTAAGTACTTTTCGAGTTATGAGGCTTGTAAATTACAGTATTTTGACATAAAATACAAAATATCTTGTAAAACATTCAATTTTTGGGAATCTTACCTTAATACTTTTATGCATAAAATAATAAGACGAATCAATTGGTATAAAGAAAACACATAATTGCTTTCAAGAAAAAATATGTAGTTTGCAACATGCAACTGCATACTTACTGCAATACTTACTTTATAGTGAATTTGCTGTTCTTTTTTTGATGCTGTTTTATATATTGTTTTTTCGTAATCACTAACAAGCGCATAACTTTAAAGCGTAATATGCACTGACGGGATATGACAACGCGCTGCGCTATAAATGCACTCGAAATGCAACTATAAAAGTGTAAAATAGAGGGGATGTTTTGGTAACAACTTTAGTGAACTTTGTTCTTTGATCAGAACATTTTTCCGAATACTTCATAACATGCTAATCTTTATTTCTAATTTTATTTATCTTATCAATTACACATGCGCGACAAACATCGATTACACAAGCGGC